CCCCCCCGGCCGCAGCGCAGCGACAGCGGCGACCCCCAAAGTTGCGCAGAGGCGCGGCGAGGTGAGTGGGGCGGCGGCGGCGGGCGGGAGCCTTCCTCCTCTCCCCCTCCTCCTCCTCCTTCTCTCTTCCTCGGCCCTGAGCAGCTGTTGCGCGGGGCTGCGGTGCGGGAGCGCTGCGAGGGGAACCACGCGTTGCGTAACGGGGGGAGCGCAAGTGGTCCTCTGGGTGTACGTCGCCTATTTATACGCATATATATGTACCTGTGCGCGTATGTATGCCTGTATATACGCGATGTGTGCGTACCCGCGTGTGTACACGCACATGTGTGCACGCGTGGGCCCTGTCCCATCCTCCCGTGCCCACCCCTGTCGCTCCCACAACCTCATATTGGGGTGCACGGGCTCACCCCGCTTCCCTCCTTCCCTGTTGGCTCAGGGCTGTGGGGAGATGCCGAGCACGGCCGCAGCGCGTGGCGAGGTGTGAAGTGGCAGCGCTCCTCATGTGGCACGGGCTATTTGTGGGCTACTCTGGGTGTGCTAGGAGTTGGCACCGGCCTCGTGGAGCAGAGTGTGTTCCTCGCTGCCCCGGATAATAATAAGTGGGAGCGGCAGGCAGCCCGTTGGAATTGTGTGCTGGGATGGTGGAGTGGTTGTGAAAGTGCAGTTTGCTGTAGCTGAAGGTGTGTCAGCGTTCTCTCAACACAAATCCATTTAAGACTTCGCATCTGCCTCTAAACTTATTGTAGTTGGATGTTTGGAGACTCCAGCCCATTTTGGGTTGGGGACAGTCTGAGGCTGTGCTGTGCCACTGGGGGAGGTTAGCAATGCTCAGATATGCTGACATGTCCAGGTGTGTCAATACCGAAACCATTGAGGTGGAGGGAATGAAGTGGCAACACCACATGTTGAGCTGTTGTTTGTGGGGCTGTTGTAGTAACATCTTTAAAGCAGTGTTTTACAAGGCTTTGTGCCTGACAGCCTGCAAGCCATAAAATTCCCCTTCCAACACGTGCTTGCTGTGCAATTCATGAAGACTTTCCCAATTGGAAAGACACTGACCACCGCAATGGTGCAAGTGCTGCGGGCACATTGACAAATCCCCACTGGTGTGTGCCAGACCCTGCACTGGGAGCAGAGAGCCAGGGCAGTTGTCTCAGTCCTCCTCACCTGGGGCGCATCTGGGGCATCTGCTGGTGTTGGTGTCTCGCAGGACGTGGGTGGGACACCCTCCACTCCTCCCTGCTTTGCTTTGGTGGTTGTTCTGCAGGAGGAGATGGGCAGCTCCTCTTAGCTGTGTACAAGGGGAAGTTGGAGGTGCTAGCTCAGAGCGACAGTCCAAATTCCAGTAAACAGGCTTGAACTTGACACTCCTAGCGTGAGGAAATTGTGGTAAACCTTTGGCGTTGTGGATGGCCTCAGAGATGTGGTGGGATTAACGAGTTTAATCAAATTCCTGTACTGCCAGTGATGTTATGTATTGGTCTGTGTGCAGTTAGTGACAAAGAGCTGGAAATAAAGCTCCCTACAGACAATGTGTGGTGTGTAGTGTGTGGCAGGAGAAGAAGAAAGCTCACCCTTTCTTCTTCTAAAACTTTCTTTGCTTGTGTTTTTGCTCTGAAGTGCGATAGTTGGTTTTTTGTGATTGCCTGAGAGTTGCTTTCCTTAAGGTTTTTCTAAAAATATTGTTAGCCATAGAAAAAGAAGAATGAACGATCCCATCTTTTCAAAGAATTCAAAGAGGAGAACACAAAGAAGTGTTTTCTCATTGTGTGCCTGTGATGTTCTTTGCACGTGCACAGATTTATTTTTTTAAAAAAGATCTCTTAGAGTGCGGCAAATAAGTGTCTGCAGCTCCAGCTGAAAAATGAAATGTGTAGCTAATATATGCAAAGTAATGATTTCAGTAGTAATGGCATTTTTGTGCAATAAGCTATTGGTGCAAGTTGAATAGCATTTATTACGCGACTTGTAATCAGTCTTTTGCAATTTTTGTTTAGGTCATATGAACATGGATTATATATTTCAATCAAAGCGTGCATGCCTTTTTGCTGAAAGGAAGGCTAAACTGAGTGGTTTCTCAGTTTACAAGATGCAGGAATGCACCTACACCATTTAGCAGATCTGTCTGGGGTTTAAAGGCATGGATGCTTCCATCTCTCACCTCTGGGTCTGAATTTCCATCTTTGCTGGTTCTGGTTGTGTATTAGTGTCGAGTGACTGTATATTAGTGGTCTCTGGGCTGAAGCATGTGGGAGAAAATACAAAAGTCATTCCATTAGCATGCTGAAGAAAATCTCAATTTAAACTGAAATATCGGCTTTCTGTGAGCCCAGCTTACTCCTGCTGCTTCAGGGCTCCTCCTGACTACAAATGCTTGAAGAGAATGGGGAATAGAGCCTTTGTAGTGCCTGTCGCTGTCGTTCTCTGCTGATATTTGAAGAGGTGCCCACACGGTTTTGTTGTAGCAGAATGGGCAGTAGATTCCCACTCCCAATAATTCCCTGAGGTTTTTCAGAATAGTGTTCTATTGCTTACTCGGCTTTTTACAAAAAAATGGTCATCGTTTCTTTAAATTTAACCAAAAGACATTAACCTTGGCAGCTGCCTGAATATTACGCATTCATCTGAAGCTCGCATTGAGAAGATGTAAAATGTATGAATGCAGCCAGCTGAGTTGCAATGTGTTCATTTTGCTTTATAGCTAGGCAGAAACATCTTTGTAGTGTATTGAAAAGAGTGCTACTCACTGTGCCACGGTTGGGCTATGAATTATAATTTTAAAGCAGGCGAGCAGTGGAATGCATACCAATGTCTTTGTGGCCAGCGACGGACTTGAAGCTCCTGCATTCCCAGAAGTAATAAGTGTGGATCAAAGAGCAACCGCACGTTCCAAACAGCTAAATAAAAAGAAAGAAGGGATGAAGTTCTGGTAAACCTTTGTGCTGCGAGTTTGCGTGTACAGCCTAACTCCATCAATCAAAAATAGGATTTGGGAGGCTTCTCTGCTGGTTGTGGTGGTCTTGTTGGGAGAGCTGGAGAAACAACCTGAGGATGACCACCTGTGCTGAAACTGAAAAGGGGCAGCTCCTCTGAGGTTTACTTCTGAAATCTGTGTGTCACTTGAACAATAACCTTCTCTGCTATGCTATTAACAGAAGAGCCAGCAATTAGGAACAGGAGAACTTGGGAAACTGCCCATTTGCCCCAAGTAGGAGATTACATGAAAGCTGGAGGCTTGATGTTTGGTCCTGAGCTTTGACAGCACACAGCCTATGTGGTGATGGGTGGATGGGTTGTGGTGCACAGGTTCAGAGCTCTTCTGCTAAGAGGAGCAGGAGCTGCCTATTGCTCATCACCATGCTCTTCTGGGCTGTGTGGCAGCAGTTTTCTTCTTGGAAAAGAGGCAAAGCAGTTATGTCTGTTTAAATAAAAGCAGCTAAAACAAAATGACCCTTGAGACTTCATCATAGCTACTTATTATAGCCGACATCCATTGAGGATTGTTTTTCTGTTGTGTTGTATTTTTTTTTTTTTCTTCCCTTCATTAGTGATTGCTTTAAAATTGAAGCCTGAACTAGGAAAACAGGAACTGTGAGTATGGAGGTGTACTTTTGGCCCGATTTGCATGCTGCCTGCTCTCTGTTTAGCAGTAGGTGTACTGGGCGCGTGTGCGAGCAATCCAACGTGTCAGCAGTTCCTGCGGGCTGCTCCTGCTGACTCACGTGTCTGGTGCAGCCCGCAGCTCCCTGCCGTCAGCTGCCCACAGTAGGAGTGTAGCAGTTGACCCTTCGTGCAAAGGTTGTTTTTGGTTCTCTGGTCACTGCTTCCGTTGTGGTGTCTTCCTAGTCAGAGTGAAGCATGCTGCCGTTAAGGCTGGCTGCTGTTTGTTGTGCTTGAAGTACATCTGGATGTGACACGTGTCCAGCAGGACTGACCCTCTGGGGTTTGTTTTGTTTCTGGTTTTATGAATGGGATGTTTGATTTACCAGAAACATCCACCAATGCATTGTTCCCAATTTGGATACAGCAAGACCCACATGCAAGTAGTATTTTCTTTTGAGAGTTACCAGCCCTACAGGCTCTTACCCTGCAGCCCTTTTTTTTTTTTTTTTTTTTTTTTTTTCCCGGCAGAAACCTTTGAAGCCGGTGAAGAATTCTGATTAACCTTTAAAAACCTTTACTGTAGCTGTCTTTAATTTTCAGAGTTTTCCTGTCTCTGAGAGCCTGGCTTCTACCCCTGCAGCAGTAATCCTGCCCACAGTGCGAAAGGATTCCTTCATTTGCATGAGGATGAAAACTTGCCCTCTTGTATACAACTGTTTCTTTATTTACGGTCTCCCTTCTGATTACTCATACAGATCCTAAAATGATAGCTTCTGCTGACTAGGGGTTTTTAACTGATCTTGTTATGGCTTTTTTTCTTCCCTCCTTTCTTTTTCTTTCTCAGTCTGTCACAAAAGCCCTTACATCAGCTGAGAGAATTATCCTCCTGCAGTTCTGAATTTACTGCTACTGACTTGTAAGTCCTCAGTTGTCTTCTGTGTTTTTCTTCCTTTTTCATTAATTTCTAAAAATATGGTAAACAAAATCAGCTGGTATGAAACAGGCTTTCATAACAAAAAGGTGAGCTCTTGTCACTTGTTTTGTTTTTAGTCAAATACTTTGACCAGTAATGAATAGAAAACCACATTGAGAGCTTTGTAACACTTGAAGAAAATGGGTGTTCTTGGTTTCCGCCAATACAAATGACTCATCGGTATCAGTAGGGTTCCTACTTCTAATAATAAAGCTGTGGAAGACCTTTAAAATCTGTGATTTTGGCCCCTGCTCTTAGTGAAAGGTTGGAAAATGTTGCTTCAAGGTTTTTTGTGTTTTAAATGTATGGAAACTTTAATGATTTGCTGTGTCACAGCAGATGCCCCATCACATACCCTCCAAAAAGCTCGAATAGTACCACTGGCTGTGGTGCTAAAATCTTCCATTCTTCTGTTTCCTTGGTGCTCTGATTTCACTGCAGCCCATCACTGATGTTTAGCCTTGATGTCAGAGATGCACATCTGG